AGGGTCAGCAAGGTTCCAGATGCCAAAGCCTCGGAATACAGAAAAGACAAGACACGGTTCAAACACCTTCTGGAAACGTTTCTCTTGTCAAACACCCCTGTTCATTGCCTGCCTCAGGAAAATCACACTAGAAAGAGTACCGGTCGCTAGACACCGCCAGCTTGCACGCTTGGCCTGTTAGCCATCACGGCCAGGTGTTGACAGAACCTTCTGGCTAAGCTTCTGCTTCTAGCCCAGCATCTCCAGCTGTCTCTGTCCACCTCTGAGCCAGGAGCGGCCTGTGAGTGGGCAGCGAAGTCCTAGGGGGCAGCTCCAATGGCCCTGGGCCTTGCACAAGGGCAGCCATCTGGCTTGGATTTGGTCATCAGCAGAACGAGTAGAGGGTCCTGTCCAGGGGCTCCTGGGGTATCCTCTTAGGTACTGTTACCCCCGGCAACTTGGTTGCACAGTAACTTCCTCTGTGTTCATTGTTTGTTCATTTTGTTTTCAGATACTGGGAGCTGAACCTAGCCTGAGTTTACGTCTCTAGGCCTAGCTTTTCACACACCCAACTCCCACACGGATGTCATCCCCAAACCCTGCCACCAAGAGGGCATCTTTCATGCGTCTAAACAGTTTTTCCCTCTAACCCTCCACAACTTGTCTGCCTGTCTGATCACTGAATGCTCTCATCTGAGTGATAATAGGAAGTCTGTGCATGCTGTAATTTTTAGTCTAGAAGCTGGAAATAGAGCAAACGGTATCTCAACCCATGAAAGGAACCCAGTTACAACCTGTATATATGTGGATAGCTTGGTTAAGTTTTCATAATGCAAATACCCTGATTTTTTAAAAAAAAATACCACAATCTGGGACCAGTAAGCCTTCCTAATTCCCAGTGAATGGTTGGCAGAGATCGCTCATCTATTTACTTACTAATTTGTTTAAAAGTATAGTGTTGCAGCGGGGCGACTGCTTGCCTTGTGCTTGTTAGTGTTTCTATAAGAATCATATGCTACAAGCAAGGATTGCTTCTCCTGCTGGAAACTGCGTGGAGGATTTGGGTTTCTGTCTTCTCTGGGCTGCAGGCAGCAACTGGGTGTACAGGCCACCCGAGCTCTGTGGACTGCCATGTCCCCTTTCTGGCCTGCGCTCTGGTTTACCCAGCTGTGCCAGTAGGAAAGGGAACAGCTGGACATAAACAATCGCACTGCTCCTGCCAGGTACAAAAGGGTTTGTGTTGCTCTTTTGGGCATTTCTGGCTTCTTAGAGAAAGCAAAATAAAGCAAGATTATAATGAGCAAAGCCTTATGAACTGTGACCGCTCTTAATCATAAACAGACAGTTTATCCACTGAAATCACATGGCTCAAGGATCTGCCTGCAGAAGAATGATCATTGTAGGTTAATGGGAGGGAGGGGTAGAGGAAAGAAGGGAGAGAGGGATGGAGGAAGAGAGAAAGAGAGAGAGAAAGAGAGAGAGAGAGAGAGAGAGAGAGAGAGAGAGAGAGAGAACTCCCCAAGAGCTTCCTGGCATCAGGGAAGCCCCTGGCCTAGTTGTGCTTGATACTGAACAGGCTGTTGGCTCACAGACAAGCACCAGCCCGGGAAGGGACAGAACAGAAGGGTGGAGATGTCCAAGGACACAGCAGGAACTGTCAGCAGCCTAGAACAACCACATCCGGACACATGCGGCTGCCTCTGTGACTGAGAAAGCTGATTGGTTCTGTAAGGTTGACTGGGATGGCATCGGGAAGACATTTTCCCTTTCCTCTGTGGGGTCACCTGGGATTGCTAAATTTGTTAAACCTATAGGAGACCCTGAGATCCAGCAGGGCATCCAACTGTAACTCTCTTCGGTTCACACCCAGGGAAACCTGAAGATTACGTTTTGCTCTGTGGGTACCGAGCTTTTGGGCCTGCCATTTCTGAGCAGTTAATACCCTCTAAAGAGGGAGAAAAGCCCTTTCCAGCCCTGACTCCTTGGTTGATTGTGTCCCTCGGCAGCTGGGAAATGAGAAGTCCCCCACACAGGAGGGCAGGGCGGCTGCATGGGTGGGGGATGAAGGCGTTGGGAGGAATGCTCAGGGGAAATTCCAAAGAAATGAGACCCTGAGAAGTAATAATAGTGTTTCTCTGTGGCCTCTGAGGCCCCTCTTCAGTATCCCCGCTGCCTGCCCAGCTCCTACCCGGCTCCAGGGATTTGTGCCTGTGCAGGTGGAGAACCCGTACTCCCCAGTTTAGGTAAACTCTTTGCTTCTTCCCTCATTACCTGGCCAACCAAGGCCCCTGTTGGCTGCTTCCATGGCGCAACCCCCTCCAATTTAGGCGAACCCCAGCTACTAGGCACCTGTCCGCGCCCGCCTGGAGCGCGCCCTCTGCTGGCACTGATAGGGCTGGCAGTGCGGCTGCCTGGTCTCAACCCTAGGCAAGACACAGCGATCAAATTTGACTAGCCACCCACACCAGAACCACCTTAGGTGCCCACGGGAGGCCCCTGTTCAGACTCTGCTGAGAGTTTGCACCGACATGTTGCTTATCAGCAGACCAAGTTACTAGATGCTTCTGTCGGAAATGACTTCCTGATATCTCTTTCTGTCTTTCCTCCTGTATCTTCTCACTTCACTTTGGGTAAGGACAGCTAGGCCTCTCGTAAAAAGCCTGAGGTATTTTGACAGAACTGATAATCTAACCCAATTCTCCTCTTCCCAAACCTTCCCTTGTTTCCTGGCAAACCGATTCTCAGACCCCTCTCCATTGTGGTATCCAGTTCACAGGAACTGTAGGTAGGGTTTGACCAGTGTACCCCAGGGACAGGCTAAAACCTTTGCCGGTGGGGCTTGCAGGCAGGGGCACAGCAGTTACATAGGAGAACTCCCACTTCAGATTCACTTCAATTAGCTCGCTTGCTATATGCTGCCAGCTAATCTCATGCATTCATTCGCCATCAAACAATTCATTTCTTCTATGAGCCAGGCGGTTGCAAAGGCTGCACCACTTAAGACTTGTAACTCTGTAACTTAAAGAGTTAACTTCCACCCGGATTTATTATGTCCATTAGCATCACCTGCAGGCTGCATGACTCTAATCCAAAGAATCCTAATTCCTAAACGTTGTAATATCTGATTTTAACTTTGGAACATTTGGGATTTCCAGATTTTGAAATATCTTACATTTAGAATTTTTATATTAGAGATGTTCAACCTGTGAGTTCTTTGAAGATATTCCAAAATCTGACCAAACCACATATCTGAAGGATCTCTCACCTCCTGGTAAGGGACACTCAGCTCGTACACAGACCATCTGGGGTACTGAATTTTGCACAACTCAGTATGTATATGAGCACTCCATCAGTGAACGCTGCAGGTAGCTTTTCTCCATCCTGTGCTTCTCGACAACACAGTCATTTAACATCCTTCACAGAGGCTGTCCAGCTATGGCTGAGCTTCCTGGGTCAACTATCCATTGATACCCCTTGCAACACAGTGGTCCACCAACTGCCAACGCTTTTAGGAGACACCCATGGGGATCTTCCCATGCTGTCTTTTGATTGACGTCACCTCGTCACATGCCAAGAAATCCCGACACCAAGGGCACCGCTTTTGCTTGATGTGCAACCTACTCACTGCATTCGTGTTCTTGTCCCGCTGTGTGGTTTAGACCCGACACCCTCCATTGCCTCTCATTGTCCCCACAGCCCCGCTGCACAAAGGACTCTCAGTTGTGCCCCAAGGTCTGCTCTCTGCCCTGATTCAAACAGGAGCCTGAGCTGTCTCTGGCGTCTCCTGGCAAGTAAGCGCTTTGTTTCTCTCCTGCTCTCAGCAGTGCCTGTCCTGCCTGAAGTGTCTCGGGTTACGCGTTTTTCCTGTGTCCCAGCGGAAGCTGTGTCAGTCTAATAATAGATGGCATTCTTAACAAGGACTTCCTGATGGTCATTACGAACTGTCCCATGCTGGTTTGGAGTTATTACCCCTTCTTGCATCTCTTGTTTTCAGCACACTGAACCGCCACTCTGTAGGCTGTACCTGAATGTGTGTGCTTTGTGCGCGTAATGTATGATGTATGATAGAGGTGCCTGCTTTGCATGTATTTTGTAACACATGTTATACTAGAATATCTAAATAAAGAAGGCATCCTGCTTTAAATTATAGCAAGGGGCTGCTGAGGTTTGCGTGTGATCTTGTAGAGGAGTGTGTGAGCAGTGGGTGTGGCGTGGTTCATCTACCCCATCCCACTCTCTAGGTCTCATTAATCAGGAAACCTGGAGCTGAGTCATCTCAAATATTTTCCCACAACTCCTCCGCCGTGTGCCCAGGTGACCACCCGTAAATGAACTCCACTGTCTGAGATCCATCGTGGGTACTTATATTAGTGGTTGGAGGCTTTCTGCTAAAAGTGCTTAGGTCCAGACGGGTTCCGGATTTCAAATTTTGGGACATTTGCACACACATGAAGAGCTGTCTGAAAGGTGGATGGCGAGTTCAGATCCAAACTCATTTTCTGTTTCCCGAGCACCTTCCCACATAGGCTAGAGATCATTTTGTTCAACATGTTTGTGTTTGGTGACATGAGGTAGATGCCGAACCTCCTGCCTGAACTGGTGTGTTGGCGCTCAAAAGGTTTTGGATTTTGAAGCATTTGGAGTTAATATTTTCAAATTAAAGGTGTTCAACATTACTATTACTTCTAATGGCAATAATAGTTTTTAATTAGACAAGATTTTAAAATTTTTCATACAATGTATTTTATCATAGTCTTTCTCCTCCCCATCTCCCCCTAACAGATTCTCCCCACTTTCCTACCCTTCTGACTTTGTTTTTTTCTCTCAAATAAGAGAAAAGAAAAAAATCAACAAAACAAAAGTTCCACAAAAAAAAAAAAACAACCAAACAACAACAAAACATGGAATCTGTTTTATGTTGATCAATTCCTCCTGGGACCAGGGCCTGCCCTGGAGTGTGGCTGATGTACTCAATGACATGCCATTGGAGGAAACCGACTTCCCCTTTCCCATGAGGTGCCAAAAACATGGAATTCTTCCAGAATGTTGAAGCCATCCTTGCACAGGGGCCATGCTAACCTTCTTTGTAGTGGTCCAGTTTTAGTACACATGCTGCCAAAGCAAGCAAGGCAATAATGATTTGAACTACTTGAATATACAGCTGAGGCTTCAATGATTAGATTCTTAGACCTATGAAGTTAACACATCTTCTTGCTTGTTGTTGAGAAAAACCGAGGCTTGGTATGTCTAAGTTTCTTTCATAAACAAGCATCTCACTATGTGGCATCTAGAAAACCAGTTATATCAGAATTCATCACATTCTCAATCTAAGACCAATACCCATGGGGGTTCCCTGAGGAGACATGTAGGACTAGAATTGTATGGTTCAGTGTTGGGTGTGGGAGCCACTCCTGAAATGGCTGCTAAGCACCTGAAATATGGCCCATCTAAGTTCAGAGATCTTGACTATGTGGAAGATATACCAAACTTTACATAAATGTAAAACACTTCATTCACAATTTTTATACCAATTCCATGTTGAAATTTTATTTTGGATATAACAAGTTGAGTGATGTATATTACAAGCACCAATGTTGCATTTCTAAAAACACTTCATGATGTGGCTACTCAGAACCTACAATGACAAAGTGAATCATGCTGGTGGTGGCTGTATCGTTCCTCCATCAGACAGAACTAACAGAAAGGAGAGTTTAGATTTTGATCTCTATTGTGTTGTTCATTTTTTCAGGACAAGGAAGTCAATGAGGAAAGAAACACCCAAAGAAATATTCCCCAGAACACTGCCTATGTAACTGTCTCTTGATGCTTTGATTTGGATTAGCTTCCAGGCACATTGCAGAGGTTTCTAGAGAAGAATAAATAGTACTAATTTTATCATAATTGCTTATAATTTTATTAAATATGGGAGAGAGAAAGTGAGAGAGGAAGATGGAGAAAGAATAAAAATTTTAATGTATATTAACAAGATAGAAAGATCCCTTATTTAAAAAAAACAGTCTTGAGACATATTTCACACTTATTGTAGGAACACGGAGAGTGTTCAGCAAGGGGACATGCCTTCCTACTCTGTCCAGCCCTAAGCCACTGGTTCCTAACAGCCTTGCCACTCAGCCGTGGGAGCAGGTTCTTAGTCCTAAGGTTGACCTTCCCAGATGACCTCTCCACCAGGTAGTCAGGAGTGGCTTCCCCACAGTTCTGTATTTCAACATTTTCCAAAACCCTCCAGCATCATTGACCATTTTATCCCAATCAAAATTCCACTGGATGCTCAGACGAGCCTGGAGTTTCCCGACTGACATACAACCTTGGAGGGGACCAATGCAAGGCTAAGGCCACAAGACTCCAGAGCCCAGTGCAATTCATCCCCAGTCCTTGGCCGCAATGCCTAGAAAGAGATAAGAATGCTCCAGAAGTGGAACAGATCATGTCTCTTCTAGAAAGACTGCCTACGAGGACTGCGCTTGTGTGGAGGCCCTGTCTGGCTAATGTACAACATTTTACGACTAGAACCACAGAGAAATCTCCCATTGTATGGAAACTACACAGATATGGTCTGAGAGCAGGACACAGATGGAAGAGACAGTGCGGACCTGTGTGTAAGAGCGGGGTGTGAAGGGTGGAAATAGTTGTTCATCTGGAAAGAACACTTCTACCCTTTGTCTCTGCATTGGTTGTGTCTCTCATTGTGATCCAACTCCTAACAAGAAGTGATTTAGCAGAGAAGAGCATGTTTGGGTCTATCGACTGAGGAAATTTGATCTGTCATAATGGGGAGATGCGGTGGGTAGCTCAGGGACAGCAGGAGTGTATGGTGACTGCTTACTCACATAGCAGCAGAGCAAACAAGCATGGTTGGGACAGAAAACAGGGCCAACCCACGAACCACAAGGTCCCCAAAGATCCTCTTCCTCCTGCTGGGCCTCATCTCTCAAAGGCTCTGCAAGGTTTCTACAAGGTTCCTGGGCAGTGCTAGCTATTCAGATGCACAAGTCTGCAGAGTATTCTATATGTGAATCATAACAGTTACATGAAGAAAGGCTGATTCTGGACAAGAGTGACAATGATTTCCTGAGAGCTGTGCTGGGACAGGTTGGGGACAGGAGGTGCCCTGGTCAAGGTTGTTTGGGTTTCAGACTTGCTCTTAACACAGTGTGCCCCTTAACTCTTGGGAAGTGACGTCCGCCGGCTTCACCCTCTGTCCCAGGCCTGTTCAGGGAGACTGTGAAATACCTACTAGAATGTCGGTTATTTTATTCATGAGAAAGCCTTTGGGTTCAAGTACTAACTCCATTTTGCAGAGAGGAGAAATCAAGGATTCAACCCAAAGTCACATGGTAAATAAGCTCACACAAGGGGCCTTACATGATCCAAAGCCTACAATTTGCTTAAAACCATTTGAATTTTTTTTCTAAACATTAAAACAATTTCTGAGGCAGATGGATGAATCTGGCCAGCCGCAACTTGGACACTTACTGGCTTTTTTTTTTTTTTTGACTTGAAGCCAAATACTTGATTTCACTACAACTCAAGTTTCATAGTTTTAATTTGGGAGAGGGCAACAATAGGGCATATATAAATTTATTATAAAGAATAACACAAGTACTTCATTAGAATGCTCAGCAAAGTACTTGGAATAAGGCAGAGACAGCAAATACCAAATAAGTCTGCTCATTTGTGTGTGTGTGTGTGTGTGTGTGTGTGTGTGTGTGTGCAACACAGTAAAAGAAGAGTAAGGCATCATTCACTAGATAGAATGTTCCCAGATGCCTCAGGCATAGGCTGCCCTCGAGGAGCTCACAATCTGGAGGTAGGACAGGAAAAGGGGAAGCATGTATGAATGAATGACAAACATGTGGTCACGGGAACAGGAAGTTTCTAACATTGAGGGAGACTGGGAGGTGGGGGAGATGACCTGGGAGAGAGGTCAGCAGGGACCAGCCTGAGTCCTCGCCGCAGCAACAGCCCCCACGAGCTGCACTTCACCCTGCAGCTCTTCAGGGCTGCAGCGCTAGGAGGAGGGAGCGAGTGGCAAACAGTGGGAAGGGACATGGTCTCTGGGAACTGGCAAGTGCGCACCGAAGATTGTAGTTGGGAGCATGAACTGGGCCACATTTGGTCATGAGAATGTATTCTGAAACGACTGTTTCCCCGATCTAGACACAGGACCCTCCTAACTTCAGAAATCACTTCCAATCGAGTGACAAGTGCAAGCCTCTAAAGCCAGGGACTGGTGATGACCTAGGCTCTATCTCAGAATCTCCTTTCTAAAATCCAAACTTTGACACACAGCTTGCCGTGCCTCCTTCTACTAAGAGGGCCTTCCCACACCTACCTCTGTCCATCCAGTTCCTCTTTCTCCAAAATGTTGTCATAGAAATGGGGAAGATCCTCGGCAGTGCTGAAACTCATTGCAGTTTGACTTCTGAGTGGCTCTTCTGTGGTCCAGGGCTGTACGGAGCTGGAGGGTGAGTAATTGTAAGTCCATCATGAGGAGGTCTCTGGTGTGGGCTTTCTGGACCCATTAGTGACTGCAGCTGTGGTATAATGTTGATGACGCCCTCTCAGGAGTGAGTTATGAGGCTTTATTACCAGCAGAGTCAGTGCATTTAGGTCATTTCTTAGGTGAAGGGACCAGGTTCAGTGGGTTCTGTTCTTCCCAAGATGATCTAGTTCAGGGTTACAGAAGTAGGGGTTACATTCAACTTTGGCCACCTCAGAAGTTAGAACAACACTCGGTATTTCTACACTCACTGAGTTATGAACTAACTGACACCAATTTCCCCAGCTTCCAGACCTTATTCTCGCTCACTTTTCTAGTGCTTTAATAACAATAAAGAAAAGAGAATACTTGTATGGTCTCTCCTGTCCTATGTACTGTCTTTCCACCAATTTCTTCTTTTTTTAAGACATTACCTAGACATTTGACAGATGGTTTCCCTACAGCCTTGGATCCTCTCCTCCAATCTCCATCACAACCTTGGCCCCTCCTCCTATCTCCATCACAGCCTTAGCCCCTCCTCCTATCTCCATCACAGCCTTGGCCCCTCCTCCTAGCTCATCACAGCCTTGGCCCC